AAGGTCCTGAGCAAAGTTTAGTACAAAATAGTGGTTTCTTGGTTATAGACAAGGTCCTGAGCAAAGTTTAGTACAAAATAGTAGTTTCTTGGTTATAAACAAAGTCCTTAGCAAATATTAGTGTAAAATAGTGGTTTCTTGGCTATAAAGAAAATCCTGAGCAAACTTTAGTACAAAATAGTGATTTCTTAGTATAAGGTTACGGTTTCATGGTTATAGACAAGGTTCTGAAAGAGACTGCTGAAGTAGTAGCATCACATTTCACATCTGAGCGATTGGTAGAATTGTCATTTTCAACCGGACTTTATTCGGTTACAGCCCCTGAAGTTTAAGCATAGCCATAGTTAACTTAGGGTCCTCAAGGTCGTTTATTTATACAAATAAGAAAAAACATTCTCTCATTGCTCACGGTTTTAGTTTGGCTTTCAAAAATATGAGTTCGAAAAATTGAGCACACTTAACGTTCTAAGGTGATATTGTTTATCAAAATCTGTATTTTCTAGATTGTAAAAAAGACAATTTCTGTGTTTTAAAATTATGAGCAAGGCTATTAAATATAAACAATGAAGGTATATATCAGATACAGCGCCGGATGTAACGTAGTGGTTATCTCGCTGGGCTGCGGACCCCAAGGTCCAAGATAGCAGCTCAACAAGATCCACACTTACAACCTTAAATCTATTATAACTGTGATGGTTAATCAAGATAGGCAGCAGGTTTTACTGACAGATCGCCTACTCTGTGTCAAATAGGTAAATAACTTACTTGCTTTATGATTGTAATATCAATACAACTGATTCAACATGAAACCTGCATAGAAAATGTTTGTAATAAATCGAACTGTTAGTAACTAAAACACAGATTACAAAATACATATATCACAATGCAATATCTTCAAGTATAACTTTGAAAAACATTTTGTTGTGTTTCGATAAATGTCCACCATACTTATCGTATTTTTAGGCGAAAGTACACTTCTGTTTAATTATATAGAATATACACGTATAAGCAGTAATCTACAATTACAAGAGATCTAAGGGGTTTGTTCATGGTTTGAAAGAGAAATAATGAATGGCATTGTTTTATTTTGAAACACAAACACAATAAAAGAGTACACAATGCTATAATGATACCATTCGTGTAAGATTTTCACTACACAAACTAGAATCTCCATAGAGAAGACATGGGGGGCGAGAATAATGTAGGGGATCACATCCAAACACCCCAACCTCTCTATGCTACTCCACAGAGGCGGGTTAGATAACAATCGGTCCAGTGGTTCGCCAGTTGATGGCAGACACAATTGTAAGTTGGTCCGGCGGTTTGCCAGTTAAAAGCGGACACGCACGTAAAGTCTATTGTCAAATAACAGTCTAGATAACTGTGCATTTCAGCTTACGTAAAAATCCACAGTTTTTTAAATTGTCATTTTTTAAAATGTAATGACATCTAACATATATAGATTGAAAAACAACTCCATCTTTAAATCTCGTTGTTTTATTAATTTTAAAGTTATTTAGATTTTTTGTGTCAATAATTGTAGAGGGATTCTTTCCTTGTAAATAAGTTACTTATAACTAACTACTGCAGTTTTAGTTCAAAGATAAGCTGCGATTAATGAGCAATAAAACGCAATTAGAAAAGTTTGTATTTACAAGATATTTTCTATACGAGGTGGATT